GAAACTTTGGGAAGAATGTTTCGAGGAACTACTTGCCGATGTTTTGGGACGAGAGACATTGCAGAAATTCTTAGACAAAGAATACTCTGGCGAGAATCTTCGTTTTTGGTGGGAGGTATGCCAGCGATTCCGCTCTGTTACCATTTCTCTAGAATTGCACCAAACGGTTCTGTGCAGGTTCAAAAGTTGCGGAAGTGCAGCTGTAGAATGGTGCCGGTCTTAGTTACAGAAATTTACAATGAATTCATTGATTCAAATGCAACTTCTCCTGTGAATGTGGACTGCAAGGTTTGTCTTTCTAGTTGTTTCCGGTTACATTCTGCACCTACTTCAACTGACTGTTTACAGGTAATGGAAATAACAGAGGAGAACTTGAAAAATCCAAATCGCTGGAGTTTTGACGAAGCAGCGGTTCGTATTATTTTTTATAAATTGTATCTCAAATCTCAGTAAATTGTTTCAGGATCATATATTCTGCCTGATGAAAAATGATAGTTATCAGCGTTTTCTTCGATCTGATATATATAAAGATCTCCTCATACAGTCGAAGAAAAAGGTAAATTTTTGAAAACGCACATTTTCGCATGCCTTGTGCACGGTTTGCATGCAAGATTTTTTGAAGATGCTGATTGAAGTTCTAAACAGGATCGTTCCATATCGCTTGCGGTTTTGCAAAGCGCGCAGCTAACAAATGATTTTTATCTTTCTTCGCTAATTGCTTTTTTTCCCATGCTCAGCCTCAATTCTAAAGGGGATCTTTTGAAAATCCTAGCCCTTAGTTTCCATACAGTAACTTTTCCTAAATTCTCTTATAAGTGAGGACTTTCATACTAGTAATTTGCATAATGTTGAAGATGCCTTCTAATTATATTGCGCTAATGTCTCCAGAACTTGCTCTCTCCTTTAACTTCAGTTCTTTTGTTCAAAAACGTCTGAATTCCGTGTTTTTCTTTTGTTTTTTTTATCCACCTTTTTAAATCATGACCGTGGCCTGAAAAGTTCTGCAAGTTTCAGTGATGCGTTTGCAAATATCTATTATCTTTTCTCAAATTGAAGTAGTCTAAGTGTTGACTAATTTCACATCTGGTTTTGTAATTCCGGATCTATCAAGTAATTGTTGGGTCTACTACGTCGGTATTTCAATGACAGGAAGAAAAGAAGTTGTAGTTCATGAGGGCAGTG